AAAAAACCATTGAATGTGTTATAGAGGAAAAGGAAAATGTGCCCTGAGCACTTAGGTTTGATTTCGATTTGCATTTTATGGAATATTATTTATGGGCCTGTGAAAGCTAACGAAGGAGCACGGTCGGAGCGTTGGGGATTGTCATCTGGGAAGGCAGCAAGCACCAATCTGGGTTTTCTGGGGACTAGGGGGGGTTTAGAGGCTGCTTTTTTTTTGCAGTGTATGGCAAACCAGCAGTGGCAGAGCTGCTGAGTGTAAGGAGAGGCACGTTTTTTTTTTTTCAGAAAATAGCACTTTTTCTTTCCAGTCCACGTTCAGCCAGGATTTTTGTCCCGTGGTCCTGCCTTGCGCTGTGACGCTGCTGTCTTGCTAAAGCTACGGGCTCTGGTCAAGCTGCTCCTTGCAGAGCTTTTCCAGCCGGAGCAGTGCGGTTCGTGACCAGCTCAGGGCTGCTCCTCTCTTTATCTCGCACCAAAGCCACAGCCACGTTCGCAAACCAGGTGCTCCCCCGCCTTTCCCCTCCGTGGAGCCTGCGTGGGAAGGCAGGCGCTGCCGATCGCCCGCAAAAGGGCTGCAGGGGAGGGAGGAACCTCCTCCCCACTCCTCCTTCCAGCGGCCGGTGGCTGAAGGACTCACCCGGGATTAGAAAGAGGGTTCAGATCAAATCCCCCTCCCTTACCTGCCCCTCCAGAGCGTGCCCGTGTCACCACGTAGCTGGAAGGGATTAACTGAAGTGTTTTTTTCCTGGGGAAATGCTTCGGGGGCCTGGAACTCCAGCCCTGGGAAGTTCAAAATGCTTCATTGTAATAAATATATATATAAAGCACACATCCCTGTGCATGCAGAGCAGGCACCCAGCCCTATGAATGTGAGTTTGAATGTATATTCATATCCAAACCCAACAAGCATGTTTAGCATACTCACCTCACCTTCTCTCAGTCTGAGTGATTCAAAATCCAGCTGATGAGACCAAAAGAAGTCACTGGGGCTGGATTCCGCTACCAAAGCAGAAAGGCCCTGCTTTTAACAAGGGAAAAATAGGGCTCTTGGGAGTAATCCAGAAGGATGGAGAGCCACCTCCAGCTGGGCAAGGCTTTGAGCTCAGTACATCAGATTTGGGCTAGAATTGCTCTTTCGAGAGATCTTCATCTCACAAGGAGCCTTACAAGGCTGAGGAAGGTGCAGTCACTGTTTCTAAACATGCCCTCTGCAGACCCAGTGCTGGAGCTGGGCCTGGGCTGTGGAGTTCTCAAGTGCAGAGGTTTTACTTTTCTCCCTTGACAGCAAAACTCATTTCTCTCTGCCTTGATGCACCAAGGCCGGAGGTTTCTGGGCTTTGCAAGGACTGGCACCGGCCTTGGGACAGCTGAGAGAGCCACAGGAACACCTTGAGGTCCTCCAAGGATCTGCTGGTGTGGACTCCCACCCCTAACCTGGGCTCCTCACAGGGGATCCAAGAGCACTGAGGAAAGCTCCCTCTCCAGTTCCAAGCTGACTGTGACCCCTTTTGTTTTTAGATCCCCCAAGAAAAGGTGGGGGGGGCTCCGGCATCCAATGGAGCTGGGTAACGTCCCCACCGCGCTGCCCCGAACCTCCCTTCCCCCAGCAGAAGAAAGCCTGAATTTCTCACTCTCTTTATCCTCTTGGAAGGAGAAAAAATACACAGAGAACTCAAGCAGAGGGATATTGTGGGCTCCTAGCTTGGGAGTTTTCAGCTGTGTGTTTATCAGCTCCATCCCCTGATGGTATCAGCACGAACAGGCCACCCACAAGAAGGCTTAGCAGGCTGGTCTGGGCTCCAGCTTTTCCTCCCTGTCTCCGTGTGTGTGTATATACACCACGGAGGATCCCAGGGACCGGCCGTCTGGGGCCTGCATCCATTTATTTACTACACAGCTGATGAAATGGCTAAACATCTTTTTTTTTTTCTGTGTTTATGGGGTGTGTTTTTTTTTAATCTGCCGGAGATGAATAGAGCCCTCAGAGAAGCTCAGCTAAGTCGTGTCCCTTCTTGGATAGGAAACAACAAATTTTAGGACAGGAAATGGGAACAACTTAAACAAACGGGTTTGGGAGTTTTTGGGGGATTTTCTTTTTATTTAAGCTCCCCAGCTCTCTCCCCCCTGGCAGATCCAGGAGATGTTTTTTTCCTTCTGGCTTTAACTCTGCTGGAGGGCTGGAGGACAAACCCTCGAGGACGGTGCTCTAACCACCCTCGTTCTTCCTCCGCCCCAACAGGCACGTCAGACCTGAGCCCCTTCTCCGACCCCCGGCAGTTCGACCGCTCCTTCCCGACGCTGCCGGCGCTCACCGAGACCAGGTTCTCCGACCCGCGGATGCATTACCCCGGCGCCATGTCCGCCGCCTTCCCCTACACCGCCACCCCCTCGGCCA